AGGGTTCCATCAGCCGTGGGACACACCGTGGTTTGAAGGTAGGACGTGCCCCCGTGGTAGACAGCAGTGGACTGAGGCTCTCTATCCCCCTTCACCCTGGTTCATCCAGTCTTCAGGAGTCAGGGATTAAGTTAAGCTCTGAATCACAAGGTTTAATTCTGTTTCTTGTAAATTTTTTGTCATACATGACGGTAATGTTTGACAATTACATGCGTCAAGGCACTGTCCAAACGGTTTAAATTAAATTACTTCTTGAGACAATTAAGTTCCATAATGAAGCATAATTTAAACAATAAACTCCATAATGAAACACAATTTAAAGTAAGATGATGAGGATGATAATATTTTTATGGGATCTCCTTCCCCTCTTGTTCATGTCACATACAGACACGCGGAGGAATTAGGAAGAACAGCAGTTCTTGCTCAGCTTTGCCTGACATTCCCCTCCTTCAAAACATGCCTGTGAAAGCACCTCTTACTCAGCTTCACCACAACCCCAATTGCTTTCATCTCTCTTCAAAGGAGATTTCTCCATGCTTTTGATTATCCCAGTCATACTTTCATATTTCCCTCCAAGCAAGCAGATGACCAGCACATGACTGCCAACTCCTTCACCCCTTGCACTCCAAATGTCCTTCAGCCTCCTAAAAGGTCATTTTTCTTTTAAATGCCAGGAGTCCTCACTGAGGGGTCTAGGATGACTCTCCTCCCCTAGTTATTTAGTATTCCTGGGAGGGGGCTACTCCCAAACTGAAGGAATTCCAGCTATGCTTTATAGAAGACAGCCCTGGGACACTCACAGCTATCCAGCAATAGATCTGGCCTGCTCATCCCTGTTCCTTCAGGGCGTTTTTGTATCCTCCAGCCAGTCTCCTCTCTCACTGTGCTGTTAGCAGGGACTTAACATTGTTCTTTGCAGAGCACATCCCTTCTCCTGTTTTCAACTCATTCCAGCTCACAGTTGGCCCCAGGGTTCCCAACTCCCAAACACATACTTTAACAATAGATGGAAACTGAAGCCCTGCAGGCAACCTTTTATTTTAGCAGAGTACATTTTTCTTCCTGTTAGATAACATATCTCCTGAAAAAAAAGAACCTAACATTTTTAGATCTCTTCCTGACCCTCCATCCTTATTTAACATTGATGAATCCTCAGGAAAATTATACTTTCCGGGTTGCTCAGTGTAAGATTTGAGGCATAAATGAACAGGTCCTCACAGAGTTCTGCAGCTGGACATTGCAGAAGTGGAAGAATTAAATACCTCTCAGTTGGTCCTGCTTAACTAGAGGGACACACTCCTACACGGGGACCTCAGTAAGTGTCCATTTGCAGTCACTTCAGTTCACGCTCCTTAGCTACAATATCCTCCCCAAAATTTCAGCACACATAAATGTTTAATTTTTTTTTCCTGGATTTTATTTCCCTCTCTTTCAGTAACATAAACCAACCAGAAAGAACCTAGAAAAAAAACCCATCAAGCTCCTGGTGGCAAGTCACTAAAGAAGAGAGATGCCTTGGCTGTCCTGCAATGACATTCTGATATCTAAGCCACAGAGATGGACAGACAAGGTGCAGTTTTCAGGGAGCCTCCTCACTGTGGCCTCCACAGAAATCATCACATCCCTCCTTGTTCAGGACACCTCACTGCTGGTGCCAGGGTGTGCTGGCTCCTGTTGCCTATTGTTCTCTGGTTACAGATCCCCTCTGAGGCTCTCCAGCAAACTGGGAGCCTGTGCAGTCCTTTTGCCTTTGCTGCTCTTTCCTGGCCTTGCAACCAGCTGGTAGTACTGAGCCTGGCTCCATAACCTCCCCAGCCTTCCAAGGGCAGCCAGACCAGGCCTGTCTGAACAAATGGGGAAGCTATTACAGCAGCAAATAGGCACTTTCTCCTGAGGAACCTACTTATTCCTCAGTGCCAAACTCTAGAGCTGATTAAAACCAGGCAGAGATCTTTATTCAGGCATGAGCTGGAGGCAGAAGAGCAGGAATAGCAAAGGCGCCAGTCAGAAGAGCTGCTTTGCAAGACTAATTTTAGTGACCTGTATTTATGGCTCTTCCACAGAGATGGGTGTAAGAGCAGGGTGTTTAGTTTTGCAAACCCCAAGCCAAACACAGCCTGTGATTCTGGTCCAGCCCCAAACCTATTGAGCACTTTTAAATCCTCTTTCACCTAAGGGTCTGAAAGCATTGGATGGGGCTGTCTGCTTAATAACATCACCACCTTATGTGCTTTGGATGACATACAAGCCACTGGCCACATCAGAGCCCATGAGTGGAGCGAGGGCACAGCATTACTCATGCCCTAAAATCCTCTTCCTGTAGGAATCCTCCCACACCATGTGAGCATCGTGTTTTCTTATTTCATCCAGCTCAAATTTCATCTCCTTCACACAGTTTTTATCCCTAAATTATTATTTACAACAGAATTCTATTTAAGATAGAATATGGGTTCAAGTTTCCTTTATTTCTTATTCTCTCAGTGAGAGCTATTGCTACACAAGCAGAGAGGCTCACAGGAGAGCTACTCCACTCCAAACCAGCCTGGAGAACAAAACCAGAAAGTAGATCCTGGAGCCCAGTCAAAGACAAACAGGAACAGTGTCCAGTTTCAGATTCTGGGCTCAATTTTAAAAAAAGAGTTAAAAACCAAAGATGGGACTGAGGCAGGTGAAGTTCAACTCTAACAGCATCCCATTTTACCAATGAGCACCTACAGCAAAGGATTAATTCTCTTTCTTGTAGATTTGTTGCCATACATGACGGGAATGCTCAATATTTACACATGTCAAGTTCACCATCCAGACCGTTCAAACCAAATTACATCCTGGGACAATAAATTCATAATGGAACACAATCTGAATTGAGATGATGATAACAATAATCTTTTTATGGGATCTTTTTCCCCTCTTGTCCATGTCACAGAGAGACAAGCAGAGGATTAGGAACAGATGATGTGACTAAGCCAGTGCTGCTGGAGATGGGTGACAGCACCTTGATTTGACCCCTGGAGTCCAAATGCAGTTCTCAGATCTAATCACTAAACCACAGAGGATGTCTGCACCAGGAATGTTTAGTTACAAGTCAAAACAAAGCCTAACTGCCAGCATCGATAGCCCATCTGCGGGTCTATGGGTCTATCGCTACCACTTCATACATTATTCATCTCGAGCTTGCACAACACAGGCCTTGAAATCAGAACCCGGAGGCAATTAGGCAGGAGCAGAGCCAGGTCTGCAGCGAGGGGTGAAAAGGCGAGGCTGGTAAATGGTAAAGCACCTTCCGCACCCTGCTTTGCTTTCCCGAGTTCCTGCCCCGAGGGTGCCTCTTTCAGCTGCTCAACCGAGGTGGATTTGCATGGTCCAGAGGTGGCTGCTGCTTATTTGCACCTGGCTTTGGGTGGCTCTGTTAGCAGAGGATCACAGAACCATTCAGGTTGGAAAAAATCTCAAAGACCTTCAAATCCAACATTAACCCAGCACCGCCCTGTTCACCACTAAACCACATCCCCAAATGCCACATCCACGCCACTTTTGAACACCTCCAGTGATGGTGAACCAGACCATGAGCTGCTGTGTGCTCTTGCCCTGCAACAGCAGACACCCAAAACAGCACAAAAGATGCCCATCTGAGCCCCAGGGTCCTCTCAGTACTGGTAGTCAACAAGAGTTAACTGCTACTTAACTGGTACTTAAACTCTTAACAGCAATTCTCTCCAAGCTATACCTTAATATCTTTATTCCTGACACCAAAATGTCAGCCTGGAGGGTGTCCAAGACATAAAAGTCTATTTGAGAAATGGACACCTGCAAAGATCACCCAGCTACAGATTAAATCTCTTCTCCTCAGAGCCTGCCACTATGGCAGTTCTGGCAGCTTCTGCTCATATGAACAGAAACCTCTTATATTTTCCCAAAGCCAAAAGGCTGCCTCCCTCCATCCCTACTCCCTCTGGAGCACACAGTGGCCTGTGGAGGAGCAGAGCCAGTTTGGCTGTCAGGCACTTTAATAACTCTTTGTGCTTGTTCTGAGAAAGACCATCTCCATCCATCATTGCTTGATGGAGTTGATATGAGTGAAAGATCAAACAGGTTCCAGCACCAGGTCTCACTGGAAGTAGAGAAGTGTCCTGCCAGCTTATCACTTGGTGCTTATCTATAAAACATTACATTTCCAGCAAGTTCCCACAGGAGGCAAGAAATGTGAGACTTCCCTCACCCACACCGATGCTGATCGAGCATGGCTTTAAACACGTTCTGTACCTCTCACTCCCACCCCTACCAGGTAACACGACCTGTGTGGCTCCACCTGCTGAAAACCACTTGATATAAGATTCAAAATCACATTGTTTTCCCTCTGCACCACGGCCAAAGGGCACCAGCAGCATTGACAAACCCTGCTCAGTCTCCAGCTGGCCAGGGGAGGTGCTGTGCTGGTGCAGACCAGGTAAAGCTCTGGTCTGGACAACCACTGCATCCAAACCCTGTGAGGTCCTCAGGGCTGCTTATTCACCCTGCTTGTACAGCACAGTGAGTCTCTGCTCTCTGACTGCAGTTCAGGCTCAGGCAAAAGAGATTTGAGGTTGGGCATCTGAGTGGGAAACACTTTTCTCTTGTTGTAGAGAAGAACCTCTCAACTCCATTTTTCAGAGACAGTAGCCAGAACAAAAACCAACCCTGACTGGTATATCAGAATTCTACAAGGGCTCAGACATGATCAAAAGAATTATTTCACATGGGCAGATTTATCTGGACAAGTATATAATGTTTTATTTCACTCAGATCCCAAGATCACCCACACCTTTCCCTGTTGGACTACCCTTTACAGAGCACAGCAGCACACACTGACTCAAGGGACTCTGTCATTCTGTACCCCAGACAAGGATTTTTAAGCCTGCCCAAGGCAAATCATGGTTCAAGACAGAAGAGAATTGCTACACCTTTTGCTGTGAACCACCATGCCAAGAAGAACTTTCATCATCCACAAACCTCAGTTTTCCTACCTGCAAGAGAAGGATGACAGGCTCTTGACTCCCTGGGCGTTCCTAGAATTAGAGAACGTCTGCTCAACATTAAAGTGGATTTTGGTGTTTTGTGTTATTGCTACTGTCACATTATAGAAAGGTCAGTGAACACATTCCATGAGTCAGAGCCTTTCCACAGCATTAGTGTAGCTCCCAGACCTTAGCCAGGCCCTGTATTTGGACAAAGCCCACCACAATCCCACTCTTAAAAGATTCCAATGTACGTCAGCGTGGCAGCCCTTTCCTGTCACTGCCTCATCTCTGTGTTTAGGGTAAGGAGCACTTGAAAGATGATGCTGAAATTAGAGCGGGGAAAGAAAACAAAAAGAAACCACATATACAGAGGAGGAAAAAAAAGGGTAAAAATAAACCAAAGTCCCCTCAGAAAAACCATTAGAGAGTGTCTAGCCAGTCAGAAATGGAGGGAAACTGAATGTAGGGAAAAATGAGTCTCCCAGCTCTTCTTCTCCAGGTGGAAACCTTCAGCAAGAACCCCTTGACAGCCCAGAACCTCGTGTCAAAGAGCAGTCATGTTTCCAAAACTCTTTCACATAAAGAACTTGGAAATATTGAGGACCTTATACATTCTCCAACAAAAATACAGACTTTTTCTGGGAAAAACATTGATTCGTTGACCCTACAATTCTTACCTGGATTACTTACTCTTGCACTCCGTGGACTCAAGGCAGGGCATTTCTAACACCCTGTCCCCTGGCTGGAGACATTCCTTGGCTCGCCAGCCAACTGGGAATGTCTGCTGCCTTGTGATTGGAAAGCCATGCTAACCAGCCACATCCCAAATTCTCTAGGCTCTCTGCTGCCCAAAGTCCTGAGAATGCTGACTTTAAACCAAGCAAACTGCAGGTGGGTGGCAAAAAATTTCAACACAAAGAAAGCGGGAAAAGGCCAGGCAAAACTCTCCCCCTGGGACTTTCCTCTCTCCTCATCCTTAAATACTCCATCTCTGCATCCCTCATCTTTCCCTTTGCCACACAGACAAAGCCCCAGGGTGCCTCCCCCACCACAACAGCTTTAGCACTCTGCATTACTTCCTGCAAACACCATATCCTCCTGCTACCCAAATCCCTCCCTGTAACCCCCCTACCATTGTCCTTTCCTCACCTTCCCACCACTGCTGAATAACCCCCTAAATCACAGACACCCCAAGCCCATTGCACACCGAGCACCTTTCCAAAGTTCTTCTCTGCTAAAACATTTTTGGTACCTTCAGTCTGTGGTAGTTGATTCAAGATGACCTGCTGGTGGCTGAGCACCCCCCCCCTCTGTGCTGGTCAGGAGGGCAATGTGAATACACGACAGGGCACAGAAGGGTGTTGAAATGAAACAACAAGGTGTGTTCAGCAGCACAACACGACAGGCAGCAAGCCACTGCACTGTGGACTGTGTGTTGCAGGGTCTGTGCTCCACTTGGAGCTTCCAGACTGCTGTTCAAGGAAATTGCCATCAATGTCAGCCTCACCACCACTATTAGACATCTCATCCATGTCCAGGCCCAGCTTGAACCCATTTAACTTGTAATGGATAATGAGATAACAGCATGACATGTTGCAGCTGAAGATTATTTAAACACCCATCTGGTACCTGTTATGCAGCATACGTCCTATTGTTGTATAGGAAATATATGCCACCTCCCTCCCACATGGAAAGGAGATCTATAGATGTGTCCCATGCTACCCCTTCTTTTTGCACAGATGAGGTAATTCTCATTCTCTGTGCTGTTTCTATCATATTTATCATGCATTTCCCATCTGTGTTTTGGGAGATGCAGTCCCTTCCAGGCTGGTGAGACTTTGTGAAAAGACACAAGAGCACAAAGAAAAAATTGCTAGGGATGTCTCCTTGCTCCCTTCACACATTAATCAGATGTGCCATCCAGGTTTTAAAAGGGGGGACATAAACCGTGACACTGATTGCCCCTTTGCAAGACACGCAACTTGGCACCACCCTTTGTCCCAGAGGGCTTTAAGGGTGACAGTTTGTGTTTGTGGGACCGTCTCTGTTTCTGCAGGGGAAGGGTGAAATACCTGCTGAAGCCTGTGAGGTGAGCAAAGCACCCTGCTTGCACCTTTAATTCAGATGGACAGACGAGAATCTGCAGATCTCAGCTGAACAGCCTCGTTTCTTTATCCAAACTCTCCATCTTCCTCTGGCTGTTCTCAGTCCCCCGCTGAAGTTGCTCTCCGTGAACCCTGCTCAGCCACGTGGCGGGGTTGTTGTGTATCCCAAGAAATCACGTTTCACAACACAAGTGGTCAGCTCTGCAGATGTGAGTCCACCCTCCCTCTCTCGTCTGTTTTTCTCGAACGTGACTCACTTCTCTGCAAAAAGCTGTTCTTCCCTGTAAATCCTGGACCAAACCCTGTGTCTGACGCCCCATCTAGCGTTCAGCACGGACAGATGCAGGGGGCACCGGGGCGCCGAGGAAACAGGTGACTGGAAAATTCCCAGCATTTTTCCACCGGTATTAAACCCACCTCCGTGAAATTATCATTTGAATTGTCTCCAAGAGAGCTCGGACAGAGCCCAGGCAACACGGAATCCTGCATATCCCACGGCCAATTCCTTCCTCTGGCCTCTCCGCAGCCTCTGGGTGAAATAACGGAGAGATGGCTGATGGAAAGCCCAGGAAACCCAGCTCCTCAGGTGTCAGCTCCCCGGCAGCCCACCCTGGGGCTTGGACCACAGCTGGGTAAATTACTTTGGAATAAGAAGCCAAAGGTCTAAACTGTGCCCACCTCAAGGCTCGATGGCAGCTGACAGCGTGAATTTTCTTTAAACAGGTAACAACGGTGCTTTCTATGAGTTTGGCAGTTGGCAGCACAGGGCACTCGTTCTTTTTTCACGTCAGATCCTGAGCGTGTATTTTGAATACTGCACAACGCTGCTCAGTGTTTTTTCAATGAGATTTTACACATTTTTGCATTTAAAAAAAAAAAAGTGTTCGCTGAGAAAATAAAAGCAGTTTCGGTATCTGTCCTTCTCCTCTGCAAACACACTTTTTTTGGCGGTGAGGGGGGGGGGGATTCCGAAGTTGCCAGGACAAGAAAATCTGCTCTGAGAACCTGGTTTTATTAAAGCAGCTTTCTGACACGTTCAGTTCTGTGAGCTGCAATGCTCCAGGCACTGCTACGGAAATCCTTGGGCTGTGTGATGCTGAGTGACACCCTCTTGCAGTTAAGCCCAAAACAAGCATCTCAATGTTCTCCGTTAATCACTAGCCCAATTAGCACCTTGGTTAAGATGTAGTGAGATTCCAGTCCTGCTTCCCTCAGAGCTGGGATTGTTCCGATGAAACTCTCACTCTGCCCGTGCAATGGTCTGTTCACAACGCTTTCGGTTCTCCAGAAGCAGTGCGATAAGTCTGCTAACTCATTAACACCTCCAGCTTACAGGAGACTTGGCTCCCAAACTCCTGAACAGCCCCGGGCTCCACGCTCCAGGAAGTTTTTCTGCAGTTTCTGTTTTGCTTTCTTTTCCTGCTGAGCCGGGCTGGCGCTCACTTCCCACCATGAAGCTTCTGAACGCTGCTCTGATCTTTATTCTCGTGCCCACTCTGACGCCGGCTTTTGACCCTCTCAGCGTTTCAGTCGTTGTGGGGGGCGCTGCGGTGGCTTGGCACCTCCTCTCCTCTGACTCCTGGCTCAAGTGCCGCTTCCAGGAGTGCTGCAATAGGAACAACACTCTGAACTACACAGGTAAGGGCTCCCTGAGCCAAGTGGTTCCTTCCCAGGGTGGTGAGAGCTTCTCTTGAGGGGGTTGTGCAGAGACAAGAATTACCACCCACAGTGTCTCTAGAAGGCGGGGGCTGTATTAACCTAATATATCTTATTCCACAAGTGGTCACGTACCCTGCTTCTCACAGCATTTTCCTTGCTGGTGTTTTGGTTTATGTTGGCATAAACTGTGCTGGTTTTGTCTGGGATAGAGTTAATTTCCTTCCTAGTAGATGGTGCAGTGTTGTGTTTTGGATAGACTATGGGAATCATATTGATAGCACAGTGAGAGTTTTAGTTGTTGCTGAGTGGTGTTTGTACCAAGTCAAGGACGGGGCAGCTCCTCGTGCTGCCCTGCCAGCGAGGAGGATGGAGGGGCACAAGAAGCTGGGAAGGGACACAGCCAGGACAGCTGACCCAAACTGGACCAAGGGATATTCCAGCCCACAGGATCACAGATGCATTTAGGTTGGAAAAACCCTTTTAAGTTCACAGAGTCCACTTCTCCATCAGCCTGCTGATGCCACCAGCAGGGCAGTGAATGCCACTGATGGACCTCATCAAGTGTATAAACATCTAAAGGGGGGTGCGGAGAGATGGAGCCATGATTTTGCAACAAGATGACCCGCTGTGGTCCTTTTCCAGCCTGACTGATTCTGGGATTGAAAGGGTGCTTAAAGATCATCTAGTTCCACCCTCTGCCATGGGCAGGGACACCTTCCACCAGAAGGGATTCCGGGATTCTGGGACGTTGGGGTCCCGGCACTCTGTGAGGGCGCCCTTGCCCGTCTCAAAGATGGCGGCGGCGGCGGCGCGCGGGGCGGGGCTGGGCGGGCCGCGCAGGCGCAGTGGGCGGCGGGCCGCCCGCCGCGCGCGCTGGCGCCGTCGGTGCCGCTGTGTGGGTGCTGCTGCCGGGGCTGGCGGCGCTGGAGCCGCTCAGCGTGGGCCTGGCCTCGGCGTGGCCTCCCCCTCACCGGGTACCTGTCGCCCCCAGGTTCTACTGCAGCTACGTGGAGTGCTGCCCCCGCGACGGGCAGCGCCTCAACGCCACCGGTACGGAGGGGGCTGGGGGGGTGCCCCGCGCTCGGCCGGTCGCCGCTCCCGGTGCGTGTGCGGTGACCGGCGGTGCTGAGCTGTCCCTCTCCCCCCGCAGCGCTGAAGGCGCAGCTGGACAGCAGGCTCTTCGGGCAGCACCTGGCCAAGGACGTGGTGCTGAAGGCGGTGCTGGGCTTCAGCAACAACCCGAGCCCCAAGAAGCCGCTGATGCTGTCGCTGCACGGCTGGGCCGGCACCGGCAAGAACTTCCTCAGCCAGATCCTGGCGGAGCACGTCCACCCCGCGGGACTGCGCAGCAAGTTCGTCCATCTCTTCCTGGCCACCCTGCACTTCCCCCACCACGACCAGGTCAAGCTCTACAAGGTAAGGAGCGGCCCTGGTGGAGGGGGTTGTCCTGCACATCCCCCCAGGCCAGATCCCTGGCAGCTGGGGGTGTGCAGTTGGGTGTTCCAAAGCTGGCGCTCAGGAGAGACGGAGGGGGAAGTTCATGCAGAAAGTAAGAGGAAAAGGCACCAAAAAGCCGGGGAATCGAATGTGAGATAATTTCCTAGCGCTGTCCTCTCACCGATGCCATCTGCTGATTCCTGTGCTCGATGCCAGGAGAGTCCCAGCATCTCAACTGAATATCCTGGCTGGAATGGAATGAACCTTCTCTCTAGCCCCTGCAGGGCCATATTTTGCATTTATGGCTAAAGCAGCGTTGATAATGCAGCAGTGCTTTGGCTGTAACATAAATGTGCTTGCACAGCCTCAAAGATGCTGGTTTTCCACTCATATCAAGGAGCCTGGAGTGGACAAGAGATTGGGAGGGGACACAGCCTGGACAGCTGACCCCAGCTAGCCAGAGGGATGTTCCATACCATATCCTGTCATGCTCAGCAATAAAAACTGGGGTAGAAGAAAGAAAAAGTGGGTTATCATTGGCTTCCAAGGGGGTTGTTGCTCTAACTCTGGCTGGGCATTGCTCTTCATGTGTCAGGAGGGTGAGTGATTCCCTTTGCTTGGTTTTTTCCTCTTTCCATCACCTATCAAATTGTCTTTATCTTGACCCAGTGGTTTTCTCACTTTTATTCTTTGTTCTCTCTCTCCCATCCTGCTGGGGTGCCTGGCTGGGGCAACCCACCACACCCTGTGCAGTGAGAAAGTGCAGCCTGCCTCAGAGGTTTTCCAAGGGACTTCATTCCTTGTCATTGGAGAATTCTTATCTTCATGTTTTAGTGTTTGAAGGAACCCAGAACTGATGTACTGATAGATGTTCTTTCCGTATGAAAGATGAAACTGACTTTTTAAAAACAAACAAAAAGATTTCTCTAATACTTCCCATCTCAGCCCCGTTTTCATGTCTTAGCCCTACACAAAGCAGAAGAAATTAGGAAGTCTTTTTCCTCTGTCAGCAAGAAAAGAGTTCACATTTAAATTCAGTGTCACACGTCAAAGGGATCAGTCACAGAGATTATGGTCCTTTCTTTGGGAAAAAGTACAACCAGTGAGTGTGGGATGCTTACATTTGGCAGGGTGTCCCCAGAACCTGTCACATGCAAGAATTTTGCAGTACAGCCAGAAAAAAACCTCGTTTTTCAGTGGTTTTCAACCTCTTGTTCCAGGAACAGCTGCAGAACTGGATTCGGGGCAATGTCAGTGCCTGCCCCTCCTCTGTCTTCATTTTCGATGAGATGGACAAAATGCATCCAGGTGTCATTGATGCCATCAAGCCATTCCTGGACTATTATGAGGAGGTGGATGGGGTGTCCTACAGGAAAGCCATCTTCATCTTCCTCAGGTCTGTGGTACCTCTTTCTGTCATTTTGAGATACTGAATTGTTTGTTTACTATGGTAATGATATTCCCAAGGGACCTCATTCAAAGCATAGCAGAGGAACCACTCTGAAGGCCCTCTGTGCAAAGACAGGCACTGATGGCTGTTTAAAGAACTGGAGACTTGCCCTGAATTTTGGAGTGTAGGATTCTGTTTTCGAGATTTGTTTGATATCAAGATTAGCAATACAAGTAGTTGGCTGCAAAAGAAATTCTGGTTCAGCTGTGTCTCTGTTTCAGCACTGTACATTTTTCTTTTATGACCAGCAATGCAGGTGGTGACTTAATTAATAAAGCAGCTCTTGACTTCTGGACAAGTGGAAAGCGCAGGGAGGATATTCAGCTGAAAGACCTGGAGCCCTTGCTATCTGTAGGAGTCTTCAACAACAAGAATAGTAAGTCACTTTGCCCTGAAAAACGGGCAATTCATTCCTCAGTGGCTGAGACAAAAGTGCTTTATGAATTCAGCCAGGCCTGCGGATCCTGCTAAAGGCGGGATCAAGTTTAGAGAAACTCCTACCTGTGATTATTTTCATTTCCCAACTCTTCCAGGTGGACTGTGGCACAGCAGCATCATCGACAGGAACCTCATTGACTACTTTGTGCCCTTCCTGCCCCTGGAGCACAGGCACGTGAAGATGTGTGTCAGGGCTGAGATGGCCGCCCGGGGCTACGCCGTGGATGAGGACGTTGTTCAGGCAGTGGCTGATGAGATGACATACTTCCCCAAGGAGCAGAAAATCTACTCTGATAAAGGCTGCAAGACTGTACAGGCCAAGCTGGATATTCATGAAGACCTTGTGATGGGAGATATGAGAGCCAGGGGTTGATTTCCCCTCCCTTCAAGTTTCCAAAAGCACTTTCAGAGCTTTTGGAAATCTGTGTATTTGCACTTCCGCTTTTTTACTGTTGCAGGGAGTATGGTGAAAATACCAGAGTGAGCTCTGTGGGCTTTGTAGCTTTTTTGTGTGGTTTTGGTTTTGTTTTTTTTTTTTTTTAACTTAACATAGAATCATAGAATTGTTTGGGTTGAAAGGGTCCTTAAAGATTATCTTGTTATTATGGGCAAGGACACCTTCCACTAGATCAGGTCACTCAAAGCCCCATCCAACCTGGCCTTGAACCACTGTTCATCTCTGAACAATCCAAATATTACCCCTTTAGTTTTCTTTTAATCTGTAGAGAATTTCTGAGTGTGACACACACCCTGCACTGGATAGAGTCTCTCCTGCTTTATTCTTCCAAGTGCTGGGATTATTAATTCCTTTTTCCACAAAAACTAGAC